CTTCACTGGCCTGATGCATGCTGTAGACCTGAAGCTAAAGCAGACATATGTGTTCTCCTCTCCAACCTTCTCACTAAGACACACCTTCTGAAGCATGCTGAGGGGCTTTTCTGAAGCTTCACGGTTTGACTCCTCAGTTCTCCAGGTGAGTCAACCCTCTAAAACCAGCCCAGAGACTCACGCTTTCCCTCCGCTACTTCTCGTTGTTGTTCGCTAAAATGTTTACATGAATTTAAAGGCAACGGTCGTGTTCCAGGTATTAACGGGGCTCAGCGGCACTAGCTAAGTCCGCTGTGACAGCAGAGCAGAGCGGTCCTCCTACAGCGGCTCAGCTAAGATGCTAGTAAAGGTAGGTGTCTTACCTCCGTCCTCCTCCGGGATGCTGCCCGCTAAAGGGACAGTGTTAATGTATAAACTGAGCTCCGGGTTGAAGTTTAACACGGACAGCGTCCTTTACGGGCAGCAGCCACCGTTTCTGATAAGCCACAGATAGTCTATGCTGAGAGGATGAATCACTCTGGGCTGTACAAATGCGCGCCGATGTTCGCGCATGCGCTGTCGCCTTGCAGTCAGGCCCGTTTGTAGTCCTAAGAAGGGAGCAAGCTGGTGGCTATCAACATAGTTTTCATGCTTTAACAGAACTATCCTCTCATTATTTAACCGTAAATGTTGCCATCTTTCTTTTCAGTTTAATTCAATGTGCTTTATTAGCATGAGCAGGCCTATCATAGTGAAGATTAAGTGGTGTATAGATAATAGATGGATGGATGGGTTTCATTCACATTTTACATTTTGGTACTGAGCTACTAGATACCCAAATTTCCCCAAGGGATTAATAAAGTATCTATCTATCTATCTATCTATCTATCTATCTATCTATCTATCTATCTATCGCACATTACACTATATCTCATGTGCAGTCCTCCAATGAGTGCAGAGCTAGATGAGGTTTCTGTTCTCAGAAACTCTGACAGAGTGAGAGCTCTGTCCTCTTGTGGCTCTCTGGTGCTGATGATGACAGCATAAGGCTCTGACGTGTTGCAGTCACGGGGTTCCCTCCTCTGCTGTTTGTTCCCCTCCTGCTTCCACCAGCATGTGGAACAAGTACCAAAAGACTTCTTTTTTTTTTAAAACTAAGGAGCCACATTATCACACAAGTATTATTGTGGACCCACAACTCAGCATGACAGCAGTGAAAATCCAACCAGTATTTATTGTTACAGTATTTATTGTTATTTTCTAAGGAATGCTTTGGAATATCTTATAGGTAAAAGATAACATCACAGCCTTGTTATTTCCTAGTCAAATAAAGCTGTTGGTAAACAGTGTGTCTATGTACCATTCCAGGCACCAATCCAGTCATTGCATCATACTCTAGCAGATACAAACATAGCTACTGTGTATGTACATCCATTCATCATATCGTCTTACGGGAACTGCTGTGGTTTGTGTGAGTATCTTACTGAGCACCCAGACACCTCCACCCCCTCCAGCAGCATGTAAGTCCCCTGATGTGGGACTGAATACAGGAAGAGGAAGGCATGAGGGCAGAGGGGACTGATGCTGATAGATAGAGAGAGAAAACATTGTCTGTTAATCAGATTAACTAGGAAGGATAATTAAAAAGATCACAGATGGAGACTGATTGATTCTCGACATTTGCAGCCAGAAATGTTGTTGTACCACAAAAGTGTTTCATTGGTTGCTCCATTTTCACCCTAATCACCAGGGATGCAGAATATATTGGTGACGCTATGCAAACTCTGACACCACAAGAAACACCTTGTAATGGGTGCTGAAAGTTCTTCCTCCACCTCTGGCTCCACCAAGTGGCAGTTCCTCTCCCTCCTTCCTTCTCTTCTGCAGGTGAGGTGAGTGAGGTGTGTGTATGAACCAGCGTGGGCAGGTGCAGCTGATCAGTCA